GGTGTTCAAGGGTTTTGGGTTTCGGGGTTTAGGGGGTTCAAGTGTTCACTGGTGTAGGGTCCAGGGGTCGAGAGCGCAGGGCTTTGAGAGGTGGGGGTTGAGGGTTTGGGGTTCAAGACAAGGAGGAGGCTTGGGGGTTTGAGCTTGGGCTTAGGGCTTAGGGTTAGGATTTAGGGCTTCGGGGGTGGTTTAGGGTTTAGGGTTTAGGGTAGAACCATCGACATAGTTAAATGCCTTTCTGGCCACCACGCCCGCCCTTGCTCAGAGCTGCGACGTTTCACCTTGGGCCGATGATACGCATTCTGCACAGCATCCTGAGACTCGGGCAGTGTCAAGATCGCGGCACGCCACAGACTTAAGCCAACCTACAACCCTTGGCTTCAATCAGGTGTTCCTATCACACATGCATATGCGTACACATGCATATGTTTGTATAAATAAATGGGTATAGGGTTTTTGGCTTCAATCAAGGTTTTCAGGGTGAAGGAGTGACCTCACACTCCAGGACGAGTCGCCGCTTATAGCAAGTCCCAGCTAGCGCAGCATGGCACAGCGGGCCTGGCAAAAGTAGGCCCGCGACCCCCTGGGGTTTAGGGTTTAGGGTTTAGGGTTTAGGGCTTAGGGTTTAGGGTTTCGCTAGTAGGGTTGAACTTAATTCATCTAAGCCCAGACTGAAATAGTCCTGAACCCTATGGAATGAGCCCTAAACCCCAAACCCCCCAAAATCCCATCTAAGGTTCAGGGTTTAGGGATCACCCTAAACCCTAAACCCCAAACCCTTTACCCCAAACCTTACACCCTACGCCCCACGCCCGCTTTACGCCCTACACCCTACACCCTACACCCTACACCCTAAACCCTATTAAGAGCCTCCGGCTCAAGCCGCCGACCCCGCTGGAGCATAGTTGAGAGGTCTAAACCGGCTCGCATGGTTCGAAGATCATCCCAGCCTGCTCGGCAGGGTTCTGTGAAACGTTTGGGGGGGCACCAGGACAAGCTCAAGCCAAAAAGACAGGGGTGGGGGTGGGGGGGGGGGGGGCAAGTTTGGGATTATGGCGAGGCGGGGTATGGGATCATGGGCGTAGGGTTTTGGGGGGGGGGGGGAGGGGGGGGGTGGGGGGCGGGGTGGGGGCGGCGAAACATGCTGAGGGCGCCCCTACCCCCTGTGCTGAACCGCCTGTTTACGCTGTGCGGGTGGCGCGGTTTTCTACGAAAAAATTGTGCACCGACCCCCCCTACCCCCCCCCCCCCCGTGTTGGGGGGGTAAGGAGGGAGAGGGAGGTTTTCACCTCCTCAAACCCATCCAACACGCCGCCAAGGTCGGCGGAAACCCTAAACCCTACACCCTAAACCCTAAACCCTAAAACCCTAAACCCTAAACTTCAACTCCCATCCTTTGCTCCTCGGGCTGCAGGGGTACCGACTCCCGAGCCCCCTGCACGCCTCCAGTAAAATGCGATGACGAAAGCCTCAAGCCTCAAGCCTCCAGCCTCAAGCCTACAGGCCCTAAAGCTTAAAGCCTAAATCCTACAGCCTACAGGCCCTAAAGCTTAAAGCCTACATCCGACAGCCTACAGGCCCTAAAAGCTTAAAGCCTAAATCCTAAAGCCTAACCTCCCCGCCAGTCCTCATCATGATCAGCCCCAAACCGGCAAAAACCCTAACCTCTCAGGCCACTCAGGGTTTAGGATTTAGGGCTTTAGGGTTTAGGGTTTAGGGTTTACAAAGCCCCCAAAACCCCATAAAAGCCCAAGCACCCCCGGGCTGCCCTCAAGCCCCTAAACCCTCTAGGCCCATGAAGCCCGAAAGGCCTAAAACCCCAAACGCCCTAAATCCCGTAAGCCCCCCAAACTCCTACAACCCCCCCCATAAAACCCTGAAAGCCCCGAACCCCCTAAACCCTAAACCCTAAACCCTAAACCCTCAACCCTCAACCCTAAACCCTAAACCCTAAACCCTCAACCCTAAACCCTAAACCCTAACCCCCCAAATTCCCCAAAAAGCTCCCAGGCCGGCCATGATGATGCAACCGCAGCTGATGCAGCCCGTGGGCTTCGACCCCAACGCGGCCTATTGGCAAGGCGATTTCGGGGGGGGGGGGGGGGGGGGGGTTTGGGGGGGGGTTTGGGGGGTGGTTTGGGGGGGGGTTTGGGGGGGGGTTGGGGGGGGTTTGGGGGGGTTTGGGGGGGGGGGGTTATAGGTTTTCAGGTTTGGGGTTTAGGGTTTAGGGGTTTAGGGGTTTAGGGGTTTAGGGGTTTAGGGGTTTTAGGGGTTTTAGGGGTTTTACGGCTTGAGGGGTTTAGGGGTTTGGGGTTTAAGAGGGCAGGGGGGGAGGTCTTTGAGGGATTTGGGGGTTTGGTTTAGGGGGGGCTTGCGGGATTTGGGGTTTGGGTTTAGGGTTTAGGGTTGGGGGTTTAGAGTTGAGGGTTTTCCAAAGTGACTCTTTGGTTCCTCCAGGTTTTTTTTAGGATTGGGGTCCAGGGGTTTGGGATTTAAGGTTCAGGGATTTGGGGGTTTGGGGGTTTGGGGGTTAGGGCGACACCCTAAAGGATTTAGGGGTTTGGGGCTCTGGGTTTTAGGGTTTGGAGCTGCATCCTAGGATTTTTTTTTTTTTTTGGGGGGGGGGGGGGGGGGGGTTGTCACTTTGGGGTTTCGGGTTTAGGGCTTAGCGTTTGGGGTTTCGGGTTTGTCCAAGGGTAGTTTCATAAGTGCCCAAATCCCCAAGCAGGTGTTGCCCTGGCACAGCAGCAGAGCGCCTGGACACTGGGCTTGCGCGTGCTCGTTTTTGTTGTTTTACTTTTTTTTTCTGGTGGGAGGGGGGTTAGGGTTTAGGGTTTGGGGTTGAGGACTGGATTGAGGGGGTGGTTCTAGCCGCCACCCGCTGAACCCCGAACCCCGTGGTTAGGGTTCAGGGTTTTGGGGTTTAGGTTTAGGGGTCCGAAGCTTGCAAAGCAAACGTACCTAAACCATGCTAGAAAAACAACCTCCCCCCCCCCCCCCGACAGTTGAAGTTCAGGGGGTCTACGTCTTCGTCATGGGCATGACCCCCAATGGAGGGGGAGTAATTACCCTGACACAGCCCAGATAGAAAATGTATTTCGCACAATCCTCTTCCTGAGGACCCCCTCCGAAGAATTTCCGTAGACCCGAATTAAACCCTAGACCCTAAACCCTAAACCCTAAACCCTAAACCCTGTAAAGCCTAAACCCAGAGCCCCAAACACGCCGCCCACGAGGATCCAGCCCCCGGCGCCCGTGTCGCCCCAGGCACTGGGGGAGCTCGGGGTGGGTTGGCTTGCGCCCCTAAACCCCAAACCCTAAACCCTAAACCCTAAACCCCAAACCCTAAACCCTAAACCCTAAACCCTAAACCCTAAACCCTAAACCCTGAACCATAAACCCTGAACCCTAAACCTTAAGCCCTAAACCCTAAACCCTAAAACCCCAAACCCTACACCATAAATCCTAAACCCTAAACCCTCAACCCGGCTTTTGAGTGCAAGGCTTACGCTTATGATGACTTGGGTAGATGGCTTTCGATGTGCGCAGTGTTAGGGTTTAGTGTTTCGAAACACCAAACCCCAAACCCCAAACGAGACCCCTAGAAAACCTCACTGGCAGCGTGTCACGTGTAGCCTGCAGACCCTGAACCCGCTTGAGGGATTTAGGGTTCAGGGTCTGCAGAGATGTCCGTCGAGACTTAGGGGTTAGGGTTTCCCTAAACATGAAACCCTGAACCCTGAAACCTAAACCCTGACGCCTAAGCCCTAAACCCAAAACCCAAACACACAAAACCCTGAACCCACAACCCCAAACCCTAAACCCTAAGGCCCTCTAAGATAGGGGTCGGAAGAACTCCTAATAGTATTCCCTTATGGCCCCTCTATCATTCTAGTAGAATAAGCTCCCCCAAACCCATATTCTAGTTAATCAGGCTCGTATATTAAACATCCTAAGTCCTACACCCTACACCCTGAACCCTGAACCCTAAACCCTAAACCCTTTTCAAATCATTAAGGCCCTTATAGCACCCCCTTGTAGAGTGGAGGTGCCATGGGGCCAGCCAGATCAGTATGGCTGGGCGCAGGTGCTTTGGCCCTTTGGGTTTAGGGTTTAGGGGTTAGGCTTATAGGGTTTAGGGTTTCGGGTTTAGGGCTTAGGGCTTAGGGTTTGGGTTTAGGGGGTTTTGGGGGTTTGGCGGGGGGGGGGGGGGGTTTGGGGGGTTTTGCGGGGTTCAAGCCGTAGAGTTTCCAATGGAAGTAGGTACCTTATCGAGCCCGATAGAACCCTCACCTAGTCCCCAGATTTCCCGCCAAGAGTCGCCACAAGCCTCTCGCCCCAAACCCCGAACCTTCAAGCCTAAATCCCAAGCCTTCAAACCCCCAAACCCTAAAGTGTAAGCCCTAAGCCCTACCCCTCCACTCCCTAGCCTCCCCCCCAAAGCCTTAAACCCCTCAACACCCTGAACCGCGACCGGGTAGGAGATGTCGCCTTACGGCACATCCTACCCCTCCTTCGGCATGGACGCGGCCCCTTGGCGATTGCACCCGGCACCCAACCCCGAAGGTCCGCTGAGCTCCCCTGAGTTCCCCTGAGTTCCCCTGAGTTCCCCTAAGTGCCCTAAGTTCC